GATTAACCCCCCCCCCCCCCAAACCCCCAAAAATAATAGGAACATACACTACATGCAGAGTCACTCCACAAAACATAATAGGAACACACACTTAGTAAAAAAGCAATATTCATTGGTAATTTGTTTTCTTTTTCCTAGGATTTACGGGATTCAAATACAGCCTAAGTGTATCAGCAAAACTCAATGAGTATATATAATTGGACCTTCAGAAAGATTAGGGTTTATCAATCCGCATCTGCTAAGATTTATGAGAGAGCTATGACACTGTATGTGCCACGAACTATTCTAAAGATGAATAATTACCTAACGCAGAAGAAATTTTGCACGATATGCTTGACTTCATTATTTGAGAATCCTGTTTCCCCACTTTAACGTAGAGGAAATTTTCTAATCTTTCCTTTTAAATAAATATAATTCAATTCTTCTATCAGAAGGAAAAAATAAATACTAAAAAGTTCTGCCGAAGTGATGGATAAGAAAATGGTAAGAGAAATGAAGGAAAAGAGTAGCCATTTCTCGCAGAGTTGGGCCCACAAAAAAACAATCTAAAAAAACCATACTTCAATTCTTTTTGCATACTTCTATTTTAACTTTCAATGAAAAAGAGTATAGAAGTCACAACTCACAAGCACTAGTAATATTCTAGCAGAGGCATATTAATTATAAATTTTAGATATGAAACTTACCTCTATAGCAGAACCAATAACCTGAATGAGGCGATCAAATACATTAGTTCTCTCCACCTCAAAGGATCTCCAGTGAAGAAGGCATTTGTATACCGTAATTGCCGCAACTGGTTTTCCTTCGCTAAAACCGAGATCTTCTTTAATACATTTGAAAAGAATATCCACACTCTCCTACAGAATAAATAAAATAAAATGACAAAATCAGTTTACATCAATTTTACATTTAATTCATATTCTGAAAGCTGATTTCTTTCCTCTTAAAAAAAGAATTTAGCCTGTGTTTGATTTGAAGGGAAAGGATGAAAATTGAGAACTTCAAAAAGATTTTATGTTTGGTTCAATGGAAATTTTATTATTTTATATAAATATATAAAAAGTATTATACTTGACATAATTTGTGTTGCAAGCTTGTAATTATAACTAAGTATTCAATATGAATAACAATAATAGTGTAAAAAAATTCTGATTTAACAACAACACAACAAAATTTTGATTCGAAAAGGTGAAAAAAATTTAAGAAAATATTACTCTTCTGAAATAGCGAAAATTGAGAGGTGTGAGATTGGAGGAGTCTATAGGTCTTCAACTCCCCCAAACTTACCACCACCCCGATTCCCCAACCAAAGACACAACACTCCCTTACTTTCCTCAAAACCTCTCCAACCCAACAAAGGCTAAGAGACCTGTCTCTGCTAACATATAAGAGACAATTCATGTTAACTGAGAGCTTACTCGTTGTCTATCAATTTGGGATCTTCTCAATGATAATGTGCCAAATGGTTTTAACGCTTTTGCTGCATAAACTACGAGTACACATTAATGAGCCGCGGCATAGTGCATCTACTACCCAAACCGTGGCACAAAGCACAGGAGGAAGTTACATGCCTTTTACTTACCTGATGGCCATTCTCTGAAGGCTGCAATATAAAATAAAAGATCAGTAAAAAATAACCAAGAACAAACAAAATACAAGAATTTTTTTGTTTGCAGTGTCATGACCTGATTGCCTAGAGTAAAACGTCCTAACATTCTTTTAGATTGTGAATTCAATAATGTCTGTTTTCGATGAATATGGTCCTCAGTTTCTAAATCAGACAATTTCTCCTTGATCCTGGAATGAGATGCAAACATAAACAGCAATAAATGCATAATATGGAGTAGTAACAACAACAATATGTACGATGCTCAAGCTATACCAATCTCATATGATAATCATGAAACATTCATGAACAATTCCGAATGCACAAAAACGAACAAAACATATGGCAGTTCTAATGCTGAAAAGTGCAATATATGAAAGTATTTTTAAAACAAAATATTTTTGGGTTTCAAAGAAGTGTATAATAAAAAATAAAAAGGTGAAAATATTGAAATTAGGCTGATATGTGTCTCATGGATGCATAATGGTAAAAGTTCATTCCACCAACCTTTGCATGTCCGTCTTTAACTCGATCATTTTGGACTCTGCATCCATGGCTTGCTTCAACCGCTCCTCACTAAGTTTGGTTGTTTCCTCGTATTTCTTCTCTGTTTCTTCGATTTTCTTATCCAATGAGCTAACTGAGGCCTTCAAGAGAACCAGCATATTATTAATATAGTCAAGAGAGAGAACAAAAAAAACATAGAAGCAATATAGACATTCAGTATCTTAAAATATATTGGCATACCATACATGATAACTTATAACATACCTTAAGTTGCATATTTTCAGCCGTAAGCTTATTGACAATTTCATGATCAATGAACTTGATGTCTTGTGCAGCAGGCACCTGCTCCATAGAAATCTTCTGGGTCTCATGCGCAGTGTACACATGGTCAGCAATCCTTTCCACGGGTGTCTGCGCCTTCAGGAGCAGTTGATTAGTCTCTTGGACCTGAAGCTCCACCCCTTCTAAAGCAGGTTGTAATTTTACATTTTCCTGGGTTTTGGCTTCATCCTAGACAGCCCATAACGAGAGGTATCCATAAGTATGTGTGAAAATGGAAAAGCCGCAACAAGCTTGGGGGAGGGGTGAGGCCGTGAGGGTGGGTGATGGAGGATACTTTATTTCTTCTAGATAACTATTCAGGTCTGTATAATGGAGAAGTTTAC